TATTTATTGTAATATATTATATCTATCCCCCCTCCCCCCTTTCAGCCCTGGGTTGACCCTGACAGGTAGAGTGGAAGTCCGCCTCCTATGATATATTATGATCTAAAATATTGTGTCAATAGGTATGTAAAATACCTACATTAAAATAGGAGGAAAAATGCTCAGGGAATGAAATCAAAGGCGAGGGTTAATTCAAACTTTTACACAGAGGTGCAAGGACATAATGCTACCAATATATATACAATGGACAAAACGAGAGGTCTAATTCTAGTTCGTGTTTATGTTGTGCAGTGTTCAACTCACCCTCGCCCGTGAAAGGTCCAGTAACGAATATCTTGGCGCCTCGTGCTGCAATGGTTGCGGGTATACGACACCACAAAGGTCCAGTCAGACGTAAAATGGTTCTCTAGGGTATGTTATTCTATCCTGGCGATGGTGATCCATTGAGCTGTCATATGTTTTCTGATCGTACCAACACAGTGAGGCTGATATCTTGCGAATCTTTTACTGAAACCGAAACCGAAACTGAAGCTGGCTTTCTGTGTTTTCCAGAACTATTTTTACGGTTACGCGGGCACGCCTGCGCTGCTGATCGATTGGCTTGCTTTCGTTGGTATTTTAAAGAGTCCGACTAGGAAGCTTCAAGATTTTTACCTCTGCCATTCTATGTCCCTGATAGTGCCGGTGTGGGATGATGATTATATATATGTTTAGAGTGCAGTTATTACTACAGCTGTTGTGGCCGAGTGGTTAAGGCGATGGACTTAAGATCCATTGGGACTTTGTTCCTTCGCAGGTTCGAATCCTGCCAACAGCGTTTAACTTTTTCTGTGAAAAAAAAAAACCCAACAAAAACAAACAACCCTTGTTAAACTAGAGAAGGAAAATGCTGAAATATCTGTGCTGTACTATCCATACTTAATGACAGCACAAATCGCGTGTGCATTGTTCTAACCGAAGGTTGTGTGAAGTACTCATATGAGTGAAAATGGGGGGGGTAAAAACACCTACAATTTTTCAGTCTTAAAAGAGCAGCCATAAAATTGTATTGAGTTGTCTGGAGGGATCCCTGTGATTGCAGAATGGGAAATTATCAAAATCCTGTTTTACTTGAAACACCATGAAGCCCAGCTGTGCAGATGTGTCGAGAAATGAGTCTTAATTCACTTTGCTACTGGTTGTCAGTTTGGTTAGAAACAGGAGTGATACGCAAAACCAGCAGCTTTTACTAAGTCTTACTGTTGTTTTTAATGTCATCCTGGTGACATTTTCATATACAGTCGCAGCTGCTCTAACGGCCATATCTATAAAGACAATCACCTGGACAAGCGACCGTTTTCCTTTCCTGCCTCCCCCCCCCTCCCCTTGCGGTTAAAAATAAACAAAACAAAACAAAAACTACATTATAGTGACACTGTGTAAGATGTACATCTAAGAAAGTAAGATAACATTTTTTTTTGTCCTCGACAATAGGCGGTAGTCTCATGCAATTTTGACTGCAGTTTTAAGAAATGCAATTTTGTAAAATAACATACAAATGTGCCTGTAGTACCTACTTTGACATACATTCTTCTCGCGTTCAGTGAACGACGTGTAAGCGTTATCGCAGAACGCGGACGTTGACAACGGCCGCGATCTAATTTTAGTATATTTGAGTGCTTGAGGGGGA